ATGTTCAGTTTTACAATATAAATCAGTTTTAAACAAGTTTGATTAAGAGTAAATCAGTTCTGTAATGGATGCTGTGGCCTCTTGAGAAATTAAAGGTTTCCCTCCAGGCCTCTTCTTCTTTGTTTGATTCAACAGATTGAGCGAATCAACAGGACACCATCATCTTAAGACTTAACTACAGTTGCACAATGATTTTCCAGCTCTTTCTGCCCTACTTTAATGTGAGCTTGTAAAAAAACTATAATGTTTGCACGTGTTTTTTTGTACAGGTGCTGCTGCATTACCAGACAGTCAGTGAGCCGGCCACTATCAAGAAACTAATCAGCGTTCTACACAAGAGCAGTGGTGAAATCCTCAAAAAGAAACCAAAGTGAGTTATCAGTCCCTTTTATTTACATCAATAGATTCAGTCTCTGAAGCTATTTTTCCCTTTAATTAAAACCACCATGCAGCTGCACCTCCACGCTTTCTATCTGGAATTAGTTTCTGAATTTCTGTATCTAATTTATTGGATGTCTCTGTGCCATGGGTTAAATATTCATCTTTCTCAGAATCATTATCATTCCAGGTGTCTTTGTCTGGGTTCCCTCTGCCGAACCTTTGGCTGTCCCTGATATTATTTATTTTATTAAGAGGGCAAATGTTTCCTCATCGCACACCATCCATTATTAAATGTTTACTTACTGATTGTACAGACACAATTTTATATCAACAGTATCAAGAGCTTGATGTTGATCCTATGAGTATTTTTTCTTTTAGGTTTATTAAGTTTAATCACAGCATCTTTTTGGTTAAATTTGTTTCTAAAACCAAATGTTGACATGTTTGTAGTTGATCTGAAAGTCTTCTGTAGCTCTTGGCTCATTTCTACTTAGTTTAAGATCTTCTAAACTTTCTTAGAAGACCTATTTACTGCTGCGTTTATCCTTTTAAAGGCCTTAAAAGCAGGAAACAGGATTTTGTGGTGGAAGAAATGTCCAACGGTTGTTTGTGTATTATTGAATTGAGCGCATGTGTCAGTCCCCCTCTTTCGGAAAAGTTCTCTATGCTAGAAACTCCTCTGCCGGGTATTTTGTATTTAAGCTTGAGAGGCAGCAAAGTGCCAGGATCAGCCTACTCAGCAGGAAATATCCATTAGATGAAGAGGTCTCTGCCGGCATTATCACTGCAAGTTATATTTACAAGTTGTAAATTGTAAATTTGTACAACAAACTATACATTTTTGTTCTCACTGCTGCTACAGATGAAAATCGCCTCTTCTCAAACTAGCCGCATGTAGCTAATAGATACAGCTAGGCTAACAACAGGCAATTCAAACAACACATTCTTTGTTGTCAACGTATCATTTTACATATTTTTGACGGTATGTGTTTCATAATTTAAAGAAATACAGTAGTTACTACAGAATTAAAGGTAATTTACCTGTCCAGCAGAAGTTTTGTGACCAAAGCATCTTTTTTCAGACCCTTTTGCTCCTTCAGGGATCGCCATCTCCGAAAAGAATATCCTAAACACACACTTAGCCGGCTCCGTTCTCTTAACACTTTCTCTCCTCTTTTCAACTACGTCTAAAAAAGTAATAAGTAAATAATTTCTTTTCTGGTTAGGTTTGTCAGAATTCTTTTCAGCCATTGATGCTCCAGTTTATACAAAAGAGCGAACACATAAGGAAAAAAAGTCGCAGCAGCAAACAAGTGTAGGAATACTTCTTCATGCTTTGGTGTAATGGCGGACCGCTAGCCAAAAAGCATATGAGTTACACTTGGGGCCTATTTAAATAACATAATCGCGGCACGTACGCAAAGTGTTTGATTGACAAACAAGTAGCCAATCCACTTTCAACATTAGGCTAAGTGGATTGGCTAAAGCTTTGTAGGAACCACCAGCCCAGGGTTTATGGATTTACATTTTTTGAAGGGGGGAATCCTAAGTACAAGAATGCCATCCATCAATTAATTCATTTTAGATTAATCTGGACACCTAATTTCTGAATCAAATTCTCTTTCATACCTTTAACCAGCTCTTCTGATCATGATGATTAGTTCTCCAGATAGAAGCATACCAAATCTGATTTATGATATTGAACTGAGGAAAACTTCCTTACAAAGTGTTAATTATTAAAGCTCTCATGTGCATTTGCTAGGATAGGTCTGTGTTTTTTGACAGGGTTATTTCTTAAGTCATCTGGTTATTATTTTAATTTTTCAGTAGTGCTGAAACAGATTGTTTTAATGTCCTAAGTGACCTGAAAAAAAATAAAAACATAAAATGATTCTCAGTGATCAAATGCGGCTGCAATTTTCAAAGGATTCTTTAATTTGTTTTTGTTTTTTGGAATTAAAAAAAATATAAATAAAGAGTTGCATAGTTTGGCTTCCTGTTCAGAGAAGGCTGAATGCCCAAAGATTTTTTTTTTCCTCAGGAAAACTTTGACATTCCCACAGGCTCTGAGTGGGAGTATGACTGTCTGAGGTCAGATTGTGTCCATATTTATACATAACTGGAAAACTTACAGTGTTTACCTCCTGTTTGTTTGATGCTCAGGTGTTTGAGTAAAGGTATGAATGCGATTGTGGAGATTCAGACCCAGAGGCCTGTGTCATTAGAGCTCTATAAGGACTACAAAGAACTGGGCCGCTTCATGCTGAGATATGTTGGTTCCACCATTGCTGCAGGTGTTGTCACAGAGGTAAGGTTGATCTTTTGTATTTTTAGCTCTTGCATATTGCTTTTACTCTTTGTCCTAACTTACTATGTTTCTCTTATATCTTAGATATTTTCCTTTATTTGACTAAATATGATTTCTGTCCCTTTCAACTCTCTTCATTGCAGATCAAAGAGTGAAGGTCATTCCCACGAACAAAGAGCAATTCAGATCGTGCTCTGCAGCACTTTTGTAGCCAGAGACACTGAGCAGTTCTTCCAATATATGCCACTCATGGGGTCCGAGCACCTTTTTCATCCCCCCAGCTCTCCCATTACTGCAGTGGCTACTTGACCTGACCATCACAATCAACACTAACTTCACCCCAAAAACTCATTTTCAATAAAGTTAATGCAGTAATCAGACTAAATAAACGTCCTATTCAAAGGATTTCCATTGAAGGAGCTTGTAAGGATCATGAACAAGTTAAATGTAGTAAATAATTGTTTTAAATAGGATTTTCAGAAATTAATCTAAAGCTTCAAAAACATCAGTTTGGAATCTGTGAACAATATATATATATATATATATATATATATATATATATATATATATATATATATATATATATATATATATATATAAAATCTTTTTTTTGCTAAAAGATATTTTGCTTCCTAAGTTAGCTCAGGGGTAAAGGTGAACAACATTTGAATGCTTTTTAGTTAAACAAAACAGGTTATCTACTTTAAAGATGATGGTATAAGATAATCCAAATGGAAATTCAAGTGAAGTTGCAAATAAAAAAGGGCTTTCCCCCCCCTTATTACCTCATTGAGGGGGAGGGTTATTTCAGTTGGAAAAATAAAAAATAAAATTGAAATGAGCTCTTCATCAGGTGCTGGTCTGTGTTTTGATTTGCAAACTGAGTCTACGACAAAACAATAAAAGAGCAAAGGCACCAAAGTTATTTATTGTCGCAAATGAAAAGTGTAAAAGTCAGTTTCAGGCTCTCATTTCATTGCATCTAATCAATACTTACAAAAATGACTTCAAAGTAAGAACTAGAAACCAACCTTATAGACCAGTTACTAACGGCACCTACAAGGTGTTATTCAGCAGCCTAAATGTTTCCAGTTCAATAAAATTACATTATGACTAATATTCTGTTTCCTGTCGATTTGTTTGTCCCACTGTTATTCTATAACTGAATGATATACATTCCATATATACATGTTCAGTTGCTCTTCATTGAACCTTTTCAGCTGCATCAAGTGGGAAAAGTTGGTGCAAATCCATTTCCTCTCTTTGCAGAGTTGTTTATTCAGATTTGTGTGAGCTCTTTGCGTGAGTTTTTCTTCAGACACTCCTTTGTATGTGATAGGGTTGTTATTCTGCTAAAACATGAGTCACTCCAGTCTGAAACCCCAAAATTCCCTGGAGTTGGTTTTAACGCAGGATGTCTCTGTACTTGTCTGTTGTAATTTTGCCCTGTGAATGCCCTTACAACATAATGCGGCCACCACCATGCACCACTGTGTGGATGGACCTCCAAAGATGAAGCCTGGTATCCAAACATGAAGCCTGGTATGCATACACAAATAATTCCATATCTTTATCATCAAAATCTGCAAGTAAGTTGTTTTACTGATATTACTAACAACATTTACAGGAAACTGATGCAATACTCCCTGGAAGTCTGACACATTAATATACATCATCTGTCTTTTACCATACTATTGTAATAATTTTTTTTTATTTTTTTTATTTAAGCACCCATGTTCGTCTGCAAACAGAAGGAGAAAACAAATCTTCCAGCAGCATCCAAGGCAGGCAGTTTGTGTTACATGCTTTGTTAATTAGAAACCAAATATTATATAAAAGGTCAAAGCCTTTGTTCTTTTAATCCAGTGGTTCGAATCTTAGTAAAATACAGCTCAGATTTTTTAGTATCCTACATATTTAATTTTTGCTGAAATTAGGCAATGTTTTTTTTTTCTTTGCAAGAAATGCTGATTTATGACTTCTAATCTTGCACACTCAACACTACTTATTCCACTTTAAAAGACCTAATGGAATTGAAGTAGACAGAGCACTGCTTTTCTATGTTAAATTAAATATATATGCAGATTATTTCACATAAATTTACCAGACTAAGTCATCACACCTTTGTATTTATAGCTAATTCTGATCGTTGTTGATAAACTATTTTTGTAATGATTCAACTCTTGGTATACTGTCTACACCTTTAATATTTGAGTGTATTCCGCTATCAGCTTTGTTGTTAATCTCTCACTATAATGGTGACTTGGAAAAATTATAAGTCACCCCTGCAGCTGAACACAACACTATCTGGTTATGAGAGAGGAGGCTGCTTTGTGGGACGGTCAGTTCAACACCTGCTTTACTTAAGCTTGCTTCTGGGCTCTGGTCGGTAGCAGCGGCTGTCATTTTTACAGTTTCTCTTATTAGTTTTGAGGTTTTCCTTAACTACAACCATGCCAAAAAGCTCAGAAAAGCATTCCTATCTGGTTCTGGAGAACTATATTGGAGGAAAGTTCATCTCCGGTAAAAGTCATATCGACTCCTACAACCCTTCCACCGGTGAGGTCTACTGTAAGGTACCAGACAGTGGTAAGGAGGAGGTAAGGTGTCACAAAGTTTATGATTTCTTAATGGTTCTGACATGTATGTTGTTCCTCGGCTGCAATGTCCTTTTTTTCCTCATATAAGCCTTTGAATGACTTTACATATTTACCTTTTTATTTTTTTCAATTCTACTGACTAAATTGTTTTTAAATATGTATACGGATTTTTAGCAGAATATCTGTTAATGCATATTAAGTTAGGCATCTCCTGTAAAACATTTCAGCAAGAAGCACCTTTGCTCTTTGCAGAGTCAACACACAAGTAATCATTAAACAAGCATGTCAATAAACTGACTTTTGGAAGGTGGAAATATGAGATCCTTAGTTGTGTCTTGAAATAAAAAGTACAAAGTTTTTTGTTTTTTTTTAGTTTATATAGAAAGAAAAATACAAAACAGATTTAGTTGTTTATGGAGTGTCAGTAAAAATCCAGCTGTTTCGATACCTGGGAGCTGTTGAAAAGGTTCTCTACTTTGTCCACTAGTAACTTTACACACCAAAAAGTACATAATCTAAATATTTAAGTAACTTTTTAACTGCAAAATTGTCCAAAAAACTTTTATTTTAAATTTTTGTAGGGGCTCTACAAGGACCAGAAACGTTTACTTTAGGTAGTCAAACTCCAAACTGCCACTGTCCTACAAACCCCATAATTTCCACAATTTGTGTAATGAAAATCACTTTATGTCTGCAAATGAAAAATTTTACAATACGGTAAAATAAAGATTTAACATAAAAAATGTTAATATCCTTTATCAAAATCAGTTATTGAAGAACAAAAATGTGCAAAAAACAAAACAAAAAACCTAACCATGGTCAAAGTCAAATGATGGTTCAGTCCTCATCTTGATATTTATTCCGTCGAGTGAATTTAACTAGGAGAAATTTTAAATTTTTTAAACAACAAAAACATTTGATAAAAATCCATAAAAATTTAAAATGAGACTTAACATATGTTTGCGTGTCAATATAATTATGAATTTGTGATTGAATAATGTGGAAAAAAGCAAAATGAAATGCTGTACAAGTAAAACAATGTGAGCCATAGTGCTCACAATTGCTTGTAATTATGCTTTTGTATTTCAAAAAAGTATAGACGTAAATATTCATGTCTAAATCCAAGTCTTGCTGTTAATCCTGTCTCCTCTCTGTTCCCTCTTTCAGTTACGATCTCTTCGGTGTTCTTATTGATCCTATACAACCATTTCCTTTTCTTCCCTCATCTTACCTTTTCTGCCATTTTGTCTTCAGTTTTTAATTGATGAGTCTCCTTGTCTGTTTTTTCCCAGAAAGTTCTTCCTCATGTTGGTCGATTGATGCAAATATTCTGATTACATAGCATCAGGTTTGGATAGTAGCCAGTTTTATTTACAACTATGACCATGTAAAGATGCTAAATCCTTTGACAAAAATGGGAATAATAGTAATCTAACCTTCCCCTCATTTTGAAGTAATCCTTGCTTATTTTGCATACCCAAATGGAAAAGCAAATAACTTAGAAACTGTAAGCCAAAATTACATTTGTGATACACTATTTGAAAGCTAACACCTTCTAGTTTCTGAATATAAATGAAAATTGTGTGAGTAAAACACAGCCCAAGCCGCATCAGTTCAAACATTACTCAAAGTAAATTTTTTTCTCGAAAATAATAGGTCTTTTTTGAACAGCATTAGTGAAGACATGCTGTAGAACAGGCATGTCCTATTGGATTATATTTGTTCTTCATCATGCCATCTACAAATGCAGAAAACTTCAGACCTCTAGCTACCACAGTTCCAGAGCTGTGGAGCTTTGAACTTTTGGTGTCACCAGCGTCTCCAAATCTCCCAAAAGTGCCAAATTGTTCCAAATGCTTTTACTTCTCAACTATTTGACCCACAGAATAAAACTGAAGCATTTTGATGGCCACAAAACATTTATGGAGCGAGTATTTCCACTTTTATTCAGAATCAGTGTATGTAATAAAATGTAATATTTATAAGCCTAAAAATTGTATTGCATTTTAATAAAACAAAATCAACGTCCAACCTTCTAAAAGCTAACTTTTCTGATGTCAAAAACTGGACGTTATGTGACGATTTTCTCATCATGGAATCTTTTTATTATGAATATGCTGGATTACTTTTAATCTGTGGGCCCTTACGGACGAATAGAGTATAAACAATTGAGGATTGGATTTATAAAACGGGTTCTGGATGCATTCAAAGGTATGTCGTGGCTGCTTTGTCATGTTTACATTTTGACATGCTGCCATATTTGTGTTAATTGTGCTTTGGTGCTCGACGTCTCCATTAAATAAACTTGGTGGTTCAATTGTGTAGAATCTAAGCTTTCCAACGAAGTCTAACAGGTCTATAGTGGTAAACATTTTACTAGTGTAATTTTCATGCGTTCTGAGTTGTTAGTTGTAAACACTTTGAAATGGGTCCCCGGCGCCCCGGTGGGTTTTGAGATGCTAATCTCCTGCATGCGATTATAATTCATATTGGTTGGAACAGAAAGCAGTGGGTAACACTTCTACTTTATAACAGGGGTCTTCAACATTTTCCAGGCCAAAGACCCCCAAACTGATGGCGAGATGGAGCGGGGACCCCCTAATTATATATATTGTATACAATTATATCAAACTGGTCCTATAGTCACTCTATTACAGATGAAGTAATGTAATGAAAGTAATTTCTCCCTGGGATTATTAAAGTATTTCTGATTCCTGGTTGATGGGCCAGGTGTTGTGAATGAAATGGTGCCCATCTTGAAAGAGCTCCTGTGTGTCGCTGAATGTGTGCATTGATGACTGAGAGACATCTTCTGCCTCCATTTATCTGTTTACTACAGTGTGTTGAATAATGTTAATGTGTATTTAAAGACATTTCAATTGGTGGGGAAAAAAAAGTCTAATCAACCAAAACTTTTGTGACCCCTTTGCAGTACCTCCCTGGACCCCCTAGGGGTCGCGGACCCCCTGTTGGAGTATGTTGTCTAAAACTATTTCGCATAACGGTCACTGGGCAGTACATTCCTCTCTAGAATCCCTTGATAGTCTGGAGATTTCATAACAGTCTCCTCCATGTTTTACAGTAGGGACAGTGTTCTTTTCCTGATATGTCTTTCTGTCTGTGGACATACGGCTGATGTGCTTTGGCAAGAAACATTTCTATCTTATTTGTCCATAGGACCTTCTCCCAGAAGCTTTGTGGCTTGTCAACATGTTGTTTTGCAGTTTTCTCTCTGTTTTGTCATGTTTTGTTTTCAACAATAGTGTCTTCCTCTGTTCCACTACTTGGACATGGTCTTAAATGCTTTATTTTTAACATGCTTGTCTATAATTTTAGGGAGTGGCGAACTAGTGGTTAGGGCATAGAGCTTGGAATCCTGAGGATCTGAGTTTGAGCCCCACTCCCTAGGACTGACATTCTGGGTCCCTGAGCAGAGACCCTTAACCCCACACTGCTCCCCGTGCGCCGCACAATGGCAGCCCATTGCTTCATAAGGGAATGGGTTACATGCAGAGAGTTTATTTCCTTGCTCTG